TGGCTACTTCTTGTTTTGTTTCAGACAGATAAATTATGATATTGAATCTGCTGTTTTGAATATATTTGGAAGGTGAAAATGACAAAGTAAAAAAAGTATATTTATCGGCAAATATCAAAGAGGGGGGTTAAAAATGGTTGATTTTGATAGCTATTTTACAGCACTGAAAGCTTCATGGGTTTCCAAATTAGCAACAACCTGCCTAACTGCAAAAAATTAAAATAACAAAAATACCGAACTCCGAGGAAAATTCTAAACGAAAAGTCCTTAAACAAATGGCAAAATCAAAAACTCAAACATATCAAACGAATGAAAAACAACTGTCATATTCCTGACTTGGTACAGGCATTTCCTTATGTAGAAAATTGTGGATCAACCCTGGTTTTATAGCTAGATAAAACTCTCAATTGTATGACAGTCGCATAAAATTCCATTATATTGACAACGATGTGTAAACAAAACCAACAGACACAAAAGGTAAAAATGTCGAAAATAGGGGTACAGCAGTCAACATTGTGTTACAATCTTTATCACTTTATCACGTCAAATGGATATAACCAAAAAAAAAAACTAAACGGTAAAAGTAATAATTTACAAAGACAAATAAAAGAACACTGTAACACGTAATTAAGATGATAAACAACTCAGTATCTAGAATCTATACTTCAAGACCATCGTGTGTTATGTGTGATGTTGATACGGAATATATTTATCAACAAGGTCTTGGTATCTTCCGATGAACTTTTTTGGAAAAAGGACGAGACGTTCTTTGACATAACCCAGGTTTATCAACTTTTTGTTCAGACACTGGTGACGTTTTATAAAGTCTGAGTAGTAGTTATAATAAACTCATCATGGATACAAGGATTGAAATTTTATATTTGCGCCAGACGCGCGTTTCGTCTACAAAAGACTCATCAGTGACGCTCGAATCAAAATATTTTAAAGGCCAAATAAAATACGAAGCATTGAGGACCAAAAATTCCTAAAAGTTTTGCCAAATACAGCTAAGGTAAAATTGAGAATGGAAATGGGGAATGTGTCAAAGAGACAACAACCCGACCATAGAGCAAACAACAGCCGAAGGCCACCAATGGGTCTTCAATGCAGCGAGAAACTCCCGCACCCGGAGGCGTCCTTCAGCTGGCCCTTAAACAAATATGTATACTAGTTCAGTGATAATGGACGTCATACTAAACTCCAAATTATAAACAAGAAACTAAAATTTAAAATGATACAAGACTAACAAAGGCCAGAGGCTCCTGACTTGGGACAGGCGAAAAAATGCGGCGGGGTTAAACATGTTTTTTGAGATCTCAACCCTCCCCCTATACCTCTAGCCAATGTAGAAAAAACAAACGTACAACAGTACGCACAGTAAAACTCAGTTTAAGAGAAGTCCGAGTCCGATGTCAGAATAGGAAACAAAAGAAAATAAACAAAATGACAATAATACATAAATAACAACTACTAGCAGTTACTGACATGCCAGCTCCAGACCTCAATTAAACTGATTGAAAGTTTATGTCTTCATCATATGAATATCAGGCACAATCCCTCCTGTTAGGGGTTTAATATTATACCGTCATAAAATATATGAGAAGAACATAACCCGTGTCATGTCAACAACTGGTTTTAGAATAAATATGTTTAATTCCGATGCAAAGACCCTATAAGTGAATCAATATTAAATACACAATAAATTGAATTCTGTGAATATGATAAAACTGTTTGGCTAAAGACGTGAAACGCTACCTGTCATAAAATACCCGAAAAATAAAACAAAAGATAGGGTATATCAGGGTAGCGACTGACGTCTGACTAAATAGAAAAATGGGGCTGAATGTGAAATACTACTTTTTGATAAATATTCCTAAAGTAATGAACATAGAGAAGTTCTCTCTCGGACACACACTCCATAATCTAGTATATTATAAGAGCATAAACTTGAAGCGCGGGGAGGCACTCTACTGTCTCCACACGGCACTAAAGACAAACTCTGTAAAAAATAAAATTGAGAATGGAAATGGGGAATGTGTCAAAGAGACTAATTTATTCCTGAGGTAGAAAAGCCTTAGTATAGCTCTTGAATACCGAATGAGTTGGGCAATGTATACCTCTATGCAGGTGAAGTTGGTATATTGCTACTAAGGTGGGGGGAATTGATAATTTCAAAATTAAAATTGTCTCGTTTGTTATAGATTCTGGTACTGAGATGACCCCTTGTGTCATTTTCGAGGTTTAAGTCTAAAAATGAGGCAGATGAAGCCGTGTCTGTTGTTTCTTTAATTTCTAGTTCTGGAGGATATGCTAATGGAACCCAATCAGAAAAGTTTAGATTATTAATGGAAAGAACATCATCAATATATCTGAATGTGAAATTAAATGATCTGGCTTCTTTCATCTTCTTGTATATGACAAGTGTCTAAAGAACTCCGACTCATAGGAAAATAAGAGGTCGGCAAGGAGAGGCGCACAGTTCGTTCCCATATGAAAGCCGAAAATTTGTTGAAAAAGTCTACCTCCAAATTCAACAAATATGTTGTCAATAAGAATCTCCAGCTGATCACTTGTTCCCCTGTGTAGCATGTATTATTTTTTGTTCACTATTAACAAAATATGCCGCATGGTATCCCAAAGTAATAAATTTATAGCGTCTGCTACCATTTTTATGTTGAAAACTATTGTGGATTATTTCTTTTAGACGATTTTCAATTTCACATGGGGAATGCTGGTGTACATGGTTGAAAAAGCAAAAGTTTTGATAGAACTAATTTCAGAGAAAGATCGAGATTTGAAATTATCAAGAAGTTCTTTAGAATTTTTTAGAATCCACATATGGTTAATACTACTACGCGAGTAAACAGTTTCAAAGTATTTCTGAAGACCCTCCAATTTTAAATGTTTATGGTGAAATACAAAGTTAGAACTACAGAAATTAATTTGAATCTCTTTGAATTCTAACAATGGTAAGGGTCCCGTGCTGCAATTCTTCCATTTTAAAACATGAATATTCTAAATGAATGCATTTTATAATGATTATTTTCCCCCATTACTCTCATTTTGAGTAGAATTTCAGGAATAGTTAATTCCTCCAAAAGTTATTTTATTAGTTTTAGTTTGAGAGTATACTGGAGAAGAAATATATAAAAATCCGTTGAGACAGTCAGACGTTAATATAACCCAACTATCATTCAATGTGAGCGTTTTGGGGGACATAAACGTACTTATTTATGGCACCGCTAATGTTTTGAACAAACAAACCTCAGGTTCAGAGAATAAAAATGTATAGCAAATAAAGGCTACAGTAGTATACCGCTGTTCAAAAGTCATAAATCGATTGAGAGAAAAAAAAATCCGGGTTACAAACTGAAACCGAGGGAAACACATCAACTATAAGATGAAAACAAAGGAACAACAGGAACACTGAAGTCCAACAAAAGCAAACGCCAACATATATAGAAACGAACTATTTGATAACAACTGCCATATTCCTGACTTGGTACAGTACATTTTAAGAAAAACTGGTGGGTTGAACCTGGTTTTATGGCTAGCCAAACCTCCCGCTTATATGGCAATGTTAAAAATATCGCTAACATTACAACACTACGCGACAGAAATACAGCACAAACACACGCAAGAACACTCAACACAGAGATACGCACAAACAAATAATATAATAGTCAACACAACATGCAATCCGCAGAACAACAACAAACATCTTCCATCAATGACAGACAGCACAGGACATCACAAACAGTGACGCACTTAATTAACAAATATGTAATCTTGAACTTTATACAATTATTTTCACAATACCAGTCCAAACAGTTATCATGATATTTACGGTATTGAAAGGCTATTTTATAATTTTGTGGACTACAAACGATAAGACATAACACATTATCCAACCGAAACCACAACAGAAACATCAAAAATAAATACACGAATGTTGGATGTATAAATTACCGAGACACGTCGTATAGCAATGCAAATTCACTTGGTAAAACAGTCGTATTCGGGAATAGCAGACAGACGACATAGATGTTAAACTACAATCTAAGACGTGGTAAAAATGTCATTAGTTAGTTCAGACACAGGCACATCGTATAAATCAACCAATTCGTGATGTTGTCCATAAAAATACACTTTGGCAATTTCAAAAAGGGGAAGTCTATAAAAACTGACAAATTCAAACGCTATATATCAATCAACAGAGCAAGCGAAAAACAGCTGCCATATTCATGATTTGGTACAGTAAATGTGTGGCAACAGGAACCTTTAAAAAGGTTCGAAACAAATTCAATCGACACGAAGAACAATAATCACATGAGCTACGCTTACCATATTCATGATTCTCCGAAGCATGGAATTTATTTTTTTGCATACTGTACCATGATATAAAATGTGCAATGATTTAATATAAATCCCATTTCAACGCGTATACGAATTCTCATCCATATCCCCGAGTTTGGAACCGCTTTTAACAACAGATGTGCAAGGATCTACATTACGGACAACCTACCATGTAATACAATCGTTCAGCATCCAAATTTCGGAACCAAAAAAATAGCAAGTTAGAAATTCATAAAACAATTTGATTTTCATTCGAGTTCGGAAATTTGATATTATTTTCTGTATTTACACAAAAAGAAATTTTTAGTCATCACAAAAAATATTTGTGTTATAAATAAAGAAGCATGTAGCAATACCTTAACTCCAAACGCTGACCCAAAAAGACCTGTTGGTATTCCGATACTTATTAACGACCTGATTAATTAGGATTAAATACTGACCTTGTATGCATCTTCTCGATAATATTTTTTTACATGATCCGATCGCAATACATGGCGAAGATAACTTTTTTTTTTTAATCATTTGTCTCGATAAACCGAGTGAAGTTAGGGATAATAAAAATACCTTTATAGGCGGATTTCCAGGTTCAAAATCTTCAAAGGTATCGTTTGAAACGCCGCAGTGTTGATCCTGCCGATTAATACCTTTCAGTTGTACAGCCATTTGTATAATGAACTGAATGTAAATCACCAATTTCTGAAATATTTATACAATGTTAATACAATACAATTAAAAACGTTTAAAAGTAATTGACAGGTTCCATGTTTTCATTTAAAAGGTACTAGTTCCGTGCCAGATATATATTCTAATAGGCATTGAAAAAAAAATGATGTTAGACAGTTTAATTTAAGATAACAAATACGTAAATTTGTAAATATGGATTTTGATATAAATAGACATTTTTCTTTTGGATTGCTTCACATTTTCCCCTTTTTATGATGAAACAGACTGTTAATTCTAGCTTTAACAAAACCAAATGCCTTGTCTAATGTGTTGCATCTTTTATGGCCAATATATATGAATGATAATGTAATTCATTGTTCGTATGGTATATGTATTACTAACATATTATTAGTGACGTGTATTTAAAAGAAATATATCTACACCTCACATCTCCTTTATGTATATAATGTTCAAAAATATCAACGTTGATCAATTTCATAGACGTTACATCATCATATATTTTATCATAATAATTTCAAAAAGAATGTTTTTTTATGTAAAAGCCAATGATAGCCTTCCATGAAGGAGTTTAAGTGTCAAGTTGCTGTATTTGTTGTATTCATCAATATCTGTGTCCAATATTTACCCTTTTTCTTGAATATTCTCTACGCTAGTCATTTTCAATCCCATATGGATTAAGCAAAGGACCACATACAATTCCTTCAATGGAGACGCGGGAGATACCAAATACATAGTAGCACGAACCCCATCAAACACTCCTATAATTTTCTTCGAAAGAATGAGCAGATCCTGTTTCACGTGTGGCAACCGTCGTGTTACTTATCAAATACAAACTCGGTGATATAAAAATGATAAGATGTGGAATTATTGCCAAAGAGGGACGAAAGATACCAGAGGGACAGTCAAACTCATAGATCGAAAACAAACTGACAACGCCATGGCCAAAAATAAAAAGACAAGCAGACAAATAATAGTACAGATGATACAACATAGAAAACTAAAGACTAAGCAACACGAACCCCACCTAAAACTGGGGGTGATCTCAGGTGCTCCGGAAGGGTAAGCAGATCCTGCTCCACATGTGGCTCCCGTGTGTTGCTAATGTGACAACTCTCGACCAGAGACTAAAAAGCGTGACATTTTTGCTGGGGTCAAACCCTCCCCCTCACCTGGGACAGCGGTGTAACAGTACAATATCAGAACTAACTATAAAATTCAGATCGATACAAAACCACAAAAAAAAACCTTACAAAACACAAAAGATCTGAGAGCTCTCGCAGTTACTGAAAGCTAGTGCAAAGCTAAAAAATCAGCATGTATCTTACAATAAAATATCATTCAGTACACATCAAACATGTAAGACCGTAAATGTATAATAATATTATTTAGTTAAAGATCCTTCCGTTTAAATAGAAAATAAGCAAAATAACCATATTGACCCTCTATCAATTAATCAAAATAGATATAAGATTAATACTTTTCATTGGCGTGATTTAAAACTTATGAAATCGACATTTATGGAAACTCGTTCGTTCTCAATTGTGCTTTTGAAGTTCACAAAATCTTAACATCATGAAGATAAAAAACTGTGCCCAAGCCTTGTTCACTTCAAGTTTTCCTAAAAAAAAAGACATTTAGAGGAATATTACGATAGTTTTTAAAGATTATGTTTTTATTGTATTTAGATATGTCTTTTTCTATTCATTATTGATCTTTTTTGTGTTCAAACTACAGTGCATAAAGACATTGTTACAAGACAAAAGTGAAGAAAAAAATATATGACATTGTTATTATGCGACTATGCGTTCATTTTTTTATGCATGTAAATTAGAACAAATAATTTCTTCACAAACATTGAATTTCAAACCTAGGGTTTTGAAGCCATCTGTCCATTTAATGGAAAGAGAACCATCTTTGTCAAATTATACTTCCAATCCATGTTGCTTCGATTTTAGAAAAATGTACCTCTAACTGAGAACACTTCTCAAAATCATTAAATGAATTCAATAAAACCTGCGCAGAAAATACATCTCTCAGAAAATAAGTGAAAATTATTTTCATTTCAATGTCCACAAATTGTATGCCAAATTTCTGATTGTTCTGCCACAGTTCCGCGGCAAAAATAAATAAATAGGAGACAAAGGACACCTCTGTCGAACACCTCTTTCAATTTTGAATGGATAAGAAATAAATCGATAATTAATCGACTACAAAAGACTATATATATGTGAGTATAACGTTAAGATCCATTTCCAGGACTTGATGCAAAAATTAAAACAAACCAATGCGCTTTGAATAAATTTCCGTTCTAGCATATCACACGCTTTTTCTAAATCAACTAGTAATAAAAGACCTGGATAATTCTTTAGTGTAGTGAACAATATACTATCAGCAATGAGTCGTAGATTTTCACAAATATCTTCCAGCCACATATCCCATATTGAGATGGTGCCTGTTTCGAATTCATAGCTTTCTTTAACATATTTTTTATGTCAATTTGAAAAAATTTGGTAAAACTTAACAGTTAGCCCGTCTGTACCATGGCTTTTATTATTTTTAAATGATTTCAAAACTTTAACGCACTCAGATTCTGCAATATTTTTTTCATTATCTGTAAACGTAGGAATAAAATCAAAATTAAAAAAAGTTAGAATCAACCGAACATTTATCAGAGTCTTCTTTTGACGAGTATCGTTTTTCATAGAAAATTCACTCTTCATCTAATATTTATTTCTTGTGACGTAATTTCAATGTCGTTGATTTGTTGAGACATTTCTTTTTATAATTGCGTTTTTCTAATTTCAAGCAATATTTTTTTTTTCATTGCCTTTGCAGTGCTCGGCAAGTGATCGTTTAAAAGCCCCGTTGTTTGATTGTTTACTATTTGCTCTAAATCCTCTTTAACAATATCTTATTCAGTTAAATTTTCTGAAATTCGTCTTGTCCTTTTTTTTTCTTTTTTTTTTACTCTAATTCCCGCAGTTTAATATTGGACGGTTTCGCCTCTCATTTCAGGTTTAATGGTAACCCATTTAAAATTTGTATTTTTTAGATTGTAATATTTATCATCCGATTTTGATAAAGTATTTTTAACTACTTCTGCATAATAATCATTATCTATCAGTAAACCACAGTTGAATTTCCACAGAGTGGGACCTCTCTCACTAAAGTTACGCCGGACAGTGTCAATGCAATACTATGATCAGTCTTTATAGATGTGGCAATGTATGTATTTACATTGCTTGATAAGAAATTCGAAATCAACCAAAAATCTAAGCCGTATTGTACAAGTGGTTTTATTCAACTCCACGGGAATAATTTAAAATCAACATCCTTTGCCCTTCAAACATCACATAACTAAAATTCTTCTATATCATCTTCTCATTTACTCGCATATTTGACAGTTGTATTTTATTTTGAACGCCCAATTTTCTGGAGCCATTTTGTGGCATCTTTTGCCTTTGGCTTTGAAATGAAGTAAACGTGTAAATGTTTTTTAAACAAAATTTCAAATTTATCTCTTACAAATACAGGAAGAGACTGTTTAGCATTAAAATGTTATAATTTTAATTATTTATGTCAAAGGTATTTGTCTACCTCTACCATATATATGCTCTTGTATACAGTGTATTAGTATGTTTCTTTTTTACTTATCTATTACTCATTTGTTTATGTATTATTATCTTTTAACAATTTTGTTATCTTAAATGTAGAAGGCCACCGGGTGGATTATATGTTTGTGAACTGTGATAAATTCTGAAAAAAAAAGAATTCATTATCAATATTATCCAACAGGGACAATGCACACATGCAAACTATTAATACTGCACATGCATGAGTAAAACTAAACATATAATGCAGCAAGCGGATAAACATATCAAGCAACATGTTATCACAAAATTAAAGCTTGTAAAAAAGCACTCATAACTTCATTATGTAAGCAGATCAGCATATAAGTCAACATGACAACACAAAATGAATAATACAATTAAGTACTAAAACTATAAGCATGCACAGCGTTGGCAGAAGCTGTAAGTAAATAAAGACAATACCGTGTAGTTGTAAATTAAGGTTTATCCACAGATTAAATAACCTTTCGACTTCTAATTTCAAGAGAACTCAAACACAAGTCTTTTGTAAGAAATTATCTTTTTGTTATAAACCCATTTTTGAAACTCCTTGCACAGTTAAACATTAGTACCTTTGGTAAATATTTGAAGAGATAAAAAACCTCATTTAATCCAAGTTGTTCAAAATGAATGCAACGTTTACACAGCTTTTAAGGTATGCACAAACTAACGTTTCATTTTTATCTATGACGGATAAAAGCGTTTACTTGTTTGACAATTTGATTAATATATAACTCTGTTTAAACAAACCATTGGTAATTTAAGTGCAGTATGTTATCAGGTAAAATATGTTACCAAGTGCACCACTGTCATCCGACGACATTAAGAAATTTCAAACGATTGTCGCTACAAAGGATTTATCTTATTTTTAAGTTTAAACAGAATGGTATGAAAAATAAATTGAATTGGCTTGGACAACCGGCAAAGCCTATGTAAGCCCTCTCCATAAATCAAGGTATAATATATTACATTTAAACAAAACAAAATATATACAAACATAATGACATCACAAAATTATCATTTTCAAGACTAGATCATAACTGACTGGAAGAATGCTTCAAATAGTTAACTAAAAAACAAATCTATTAAAATTCTAAGTAACAAACTCTAATATTGACTAAGAAGCACTACATTAAATTAAATTGTCTCCAGTCAGCTGTTAAATATCATTATTAGAATAACTCATTTTTCCAAAACAACATGTTCAATATCATGTACTCATTTTAACTAACTTATCGCACCTGAAGAATAACGACAGTGAGTAAATAACCATATTGATAAATTAAGGAATCATAAATAAGAAGAAAAATTTAGAATGTAAATAAAAACATAAAACAAAAACAATAATTGGTTTGAATGATATAGAAAACAGTGGTGCATTTATTAGTTTTTTAGCTTTTAAATTTTTAATTATTGTCATTTAATTTCTGATTTTTGTTTCAATTTTATCAATTTATCGGTCTGTGAGGGTCTAGTTGAACATAAAATATAATACAGACGTACAAAGTCACAAGCTTAATTTAGTTTCGGACTATAAAATATATTTCACTATACAAACGATTCTGCATTTCGAATGTATTCATGAGCAGCTTTAACTATCTGAATATTGTCTTCAATGCTCAGATATTGATTACCTAGTAGTTATAACTTCAAATCAATATCAACTTCATAGGCAGGTAGTTTATCAAGGAGTATGATCATGTTTAAAGAGTATGATGGCCAATCAAAAAATAAATGTTGAATGTCTTCACATGTATATAAGCAATCAGGACAAGAAGGTTTTTCAATGAAAATATCATGAAACAAGTGAGAATTTAAATTGCTTCATTTGGCAATTGGCAATGAATAATATTGAGTTTTCTTATACTAAAACAAAAATATTTAGGAGGTTTCATATTTGATCAAGTGAAGCTTTAAACTGGTTATTCGACAAAGCATTTTTTAACATAAGAAACTTCTATAGTATGAAACTATTCTGCACCTTGAAATGATATAATTCTGAAGATCTCTTCAGAAATTGTAATAATTTTGTGTGGGAAGACAAGGTTCTAATAAATCTAACATATAATTTGGAGAAAATTCATTTTTCTATTTCATAAAATGTAGTCATTTTCTGCTTTTTCCTTCTATCTGAATATTTTTCAATGCCTAAGCCAGTGTACATTTTTAAGAGAAGTTGCACTTCAGAGACTAGTAATAATACGAGCAGCTTCATTTTAAACACTTTTCAATACATTACCTTCTTGTAAAGTATAATTGTCCCATATAATGTTGGCATATTCTAGAATAGGGCGAATACATGATATATAAATTGTACCAATTACATTTCGATCCAAACTGCATATAACTTTCAATAATAAATTTAATCTAGAACATGCTTTTTATTAAATTGAACTTATATGTGATTTCAAACATTTCTCGCAAAGTTGAGACCTAGGTGAAAAGTAAAATAACAAAAATACCGAACTCCGAGGAATATTCAAAACTGAAAGTCCCTAATCAAATAGCAAAATCAAAAGCTCAAACACATCAAACAAATTGATAACAACTGTCACATTCCTAATTTCCTGCCTTGGTACAGGCAATTTCTTACGTAGAAAATGGTGGATTAAACCTAGTTTTATAGCTAGCTTAACCTCTTGTGCTGTTACATTTATTATACTTTTGGGTATTTGTACATACCATTCACGTGCGTTACCCTTACAGTGCCTCCACACTATTCTTATTTACATTATGTTGAGGTGACGTCTCCGGACACTTATATTTTACAAAAATTTTGGAATTTGCATTCAAAACGATAGTGAAAAATCCACTTGGATCACACAGATTTAACCGCTTTTCCTGTTGGAATAAATTAGTTAAATCCTTCGTTCTCCTTAAACAAGTCATCCGATCGATTCATGAAATAAAGGATAGCAACATTATGATTGACAAAAAACTAAATACTGTAGATAACTATTCCGAAGCAGAAGCATTCATTATCAAAACCGTTCAAAATGAAACTTTTAAGAAGGAAATTGAGAACATAGATGAAAATAAGTCATTACAAAAGGATGGTAGGATACTGTCTCTCAATCCCTTTATGGACAACGATGGATTGCTGAGAGTAGGTGGCCGTCTCGAAAAAGCAGATATCACTTCGAAGGAGAGACATCCTGTTATCATCCCTGGAAATCATCACATTGCTATCTTACTAGTGCGTTACTTTCACGAAAAGGTTAAACATCAAGGGCGCCATTTAACAGAAGGTATTATAAGATCAGCTGGATATTGGATTACAGGAGTTAAGCGACTTGTGTCTTCGATCATACAAAAATGTGTTAAGTGTATAAAACTAAGGGGAAAACAACAATTTCAGAAAATTTCATCATTACCACAAGATCGTGTTACAATAGCACCACCTTTTACTCACGTTGGTGTTGACACTTTTGGTCCTTGAGAGATTGTGTCACGTCGCACCAGAGGAGGACTGGCTAACAGCAAACGATGGGCAATAATGTTCACTTGCCTAACTATAAGAGCTGTACATATCGAACTTGTTGATGAAATGTCTTCATCCGCATTTATCAACGCACTACGTCGATTCACCGCAATAAGAGGTCATGTAAAGGAGTTTCGTTCCGATCGTGGAACTAATTTCGTCGGAGCAACCGATGATTTGAATATTGTAGCTATCAATGTGGAAGACACTCAGGTAAAAGACTTACTTACGAAAAATCAAACAGTCTGGATCTTCAACCCACCCCATGCATCACACATGGGTGGCGTTTGGGAACGAATGATTGGAGTAACGCGACGTATACTAGATTCTATTTTGTCAGAAACCGTTGCGAAACAGTTAACACACGACGTGTTGTCAACCTTTATGGCAGAGGTCACTGCCATTGTAAACTCTCGTCCTATCGTACCAGTTTCTTCTGATCCTAAAGTTCCTGAAGTTCTTAGTCCGTCACTATTACTGACACAAAAATCGGATATTGTTGATGAAACCTTCAACGGCTTAAACGAAAAAGACATGTATAGATCACAATGGAAAAGAGTTCAAGCATTGTCTAATATATTTTGGAATTAGTGGAGAAAGGAATACCTCCATACTCTTCAAACTAGGAGAAAATGGGAAACCGATCAACCTAATATCTTGGAAGGCGATGTCGTCTTGTTGAGAGACTTTCAAGTACATCGTAGTGAATGGCCCGTAGGAATAATTACGCAATCAATTCCTAGTGACGATGGTAAAGTTCGTAAGATGAAAATACGTGTTATTAAAGACGGAAAACCTACATATTACATTCGACCCATAGTAGAAGTTGTCCTACTCGTACGAAACTAAGTATTGCTATGTTAAATTTTAAAAGCGACGAATCATCTGTAAATAATACTCTAAACCATTATATGTAAAGTGATATCCTCCGGATACCAAACGGGGAGTGTGCTTTATATTTATTATACTTTTGGGTATTTGTACATACCATTCACGTGCGTTACCCTTACAGTGCCTCCACAATATTCTTATATACATTATGTTGAGGTGATGTCTCCGGACACTTATATTTTACAAAAATTTTGGAATTCTGATACCGCCACAGTGTAAGTTCTACTTTATAAACATTTCATAATTCTATTCCGTGAAATAACATTCGTCAGTATTATTTTAAGAACAATTTTAATGACATTAAATGTGAATGAACTTCGTAAACAAGAACAAAGGATAATCAAATAATCGTATCTATATCATAACTATTTTCGTAACTGTACATAATTCATTTACGTTGATGATGGACCAATATTTGTTTATTTGCGTTATCTGTTCTGTTGCCGATATTGACAATCTTTGATGAGTTATAACATTTACGTAACGGATCTCCGCTTGAAAAATAAAAGTATGGAAAGCAGTATATGCCATAATCATTGCTATTAATAAACAATTATATACGAAGGAAATAACTGGATATAATTAATATCTTTTTATAAATATGTAAGAATATTTAACATGTTGACTTTTGAAGTAATTCATAATTTTCTATGGAACGCTAAATTTGACACTTTTATTCTTTGGAAATATAAGTAATTTAGTAATTGTAATTTTATTTAATTTCAGTTTTTTACCGCTCACAAACTATCAACACTTATTGTACATCTACCAGAATAAAGATTATCACTCTTTAAGTGTTTAGTTACTTGGTTAAGCTGACTGTTATTTCCCAGGAATAGGCAGTACACCTCTCACTTGTATGAAAGTATAACTTGCATAACTTGTGTGACAGTGAGTTTTTACTTCAATTATATGAACTTGATTTTAGAGGGATTAAATGTTACAGCCCAATTTTTGGCCAATTTTTTTATCCTCCAAAGATCACCAGTCAATGGCCTATAAAAGGTGTCATCTGCGAATAATCTAATATGATTACTTATATTTTCTACAATGTTATTTGTATAAGTTAAAAAAAAAAAGGAAGGGACCCATTACCGAGCATTGGGATACCCCTGCACTGGTAACTTTTTGAGATAAAAAAAAATCAAAAACAACTTTATGGCATCTTTCAAATAGGAAGTCTTCAATCCAGTCAATTAAATTACCATAAGTACCAGAAATTTTCAATTTATATAATGAACCTTCATGCCTAACTTTGTCAAAAGCTTTAGAAAATATCACAAAAAAAAGCGTATATCTTTTCCTTTATCAAGATTGGATATAATAGTATTACTAGTATATATTTCTGTAAAATAAATTGTGATCTTTCACGTAATCAAATAAATGTTTGAACAACATTTTTTCCATATTTTTTATATAATACTTTTAAGTGAAATAGATCGGTAATTAACATGATCATGACAGTTTTCCTTTCCGTTAGAAACTGGAGTGACATGGAACCTTTTTGAGTTACCGTGCAATATTGAAATAAAGTAAGTGGTTAAACAATACCAACTTTAATTTCTTTCAAAATTTTAGAGGAAACACCATCAGGAGCAGAAGGTTTATCACAGTTAAGGTTTTTTACTTGATCAAGACCTTCATTTTCTGTGATAATAAATCCCTCCATTTTCAATGCAGAATCTGGTACATTATTTTTAAGCTCGGGCTCAAATTTTCAAAATTTTCAAAATTTTCGAAACATGGGTGTTTAAGAGTTCAGCTTAATATACTTGATGTTAAATTATTTGACCTACAGATTTACGATAAGGTGTAGGTCAGCGAAACTTAAATAATTTATAAATCGATTTTAAAATCCTCCACCACTTTCCTGGTGGTATATTTTTGTCAGTAATTTTATCCGTACATTTTTGTTAATATTGTTCTTTTGATTTTCTAACCAAATCACCTCATTACGTAATTCTCTAACTTTTTGACAATGGAAATGAATTTTTTGCATTGTAATGAATTCTATTTTCCGGATAGTGGATTCCATGAATGGTTTGTCAGCTGGATGTTTTGTTGGTATATATTTATTCAAATTTATTGAATAAACATTTAAAACTTGTGAATACATGTCATTAATATTATCACATGAGTGAAAAAATTAAATCCCATCAATATTGATTAAGTCACATACAAAGTTCTTATAATTTGCATTTTCAAATTTTCTAATTGTACGTTTGTATGTATATTCCTTATTCTTTATTCAATTTGAAAAACAAGTGTTTGTGTTCTACAAAAAGGTGGTAATATATAAACTGACCTAACAAAACTTTTTGTTGTTTGTTAAGAATGAATCAATGCATGTGCCTGCGTTAGTAGTAAAACTAGTCTTTTCAAAGATTGTACATAATTATTCAAATGTTGTAAAATATTTCTCAAATTGTTACTACTTCCACATGGCATATTATTGATTCATTATATATGCTATCATCTAGATGAGGCACAGTGAGAGCAATAATATCGTACTTGCCTAGTTCAAATTCAATTAAATCTACCTTGGATGGAAAGCTAAATAATTATTATGTACCATTTTGAAATTACGTAAACCTGTAGAGCATATGTACCTGGGTTCCGCTCAATACCATTCCGTACAAGAAGCATTGAAAAAGATGTATGAAAAATGTAAGTTGATAATAACGTTTCTGGTGACAAAAAAACTGGAAGATAAGTTTGTACAGTATAAAGTAAAATAACAAAAATTACGAACTTCAAGGAAAGTTCAAATCGAAAAGTCCCTTATCAAATGACAAAATCAAAAGCTAAAACCCATCAAACGAATAAAAAACAACTGTCATATTCCTGACTTGCCCAGGCATTTCCTTATGTAGAAAATGGTGGATTAAACCTGGTTTTATAGCCAGCTGTTATATCACTAAATGTGATTGAAACAGTAAAGTGTTGAGGGATACTTACAAATATTGTTCATGGATGAATTAATAGTGATTATAAATTAATCGTATGTGTCAAAAATTAAATGCATATTTGGTAGTGTCCTCATTTTCCGGAAGAAAACAAATATATTAACATAAGACCCAACACCTACAGTACTAGAACATATGCTCATGAGGCTGTAATGCACCAAAATTATACAACAAAGGATCAATCTCATCAAAGGTAATATATATACAAATATTAATATAACAGGTAAGCAAATCGAAAAAAGGTTTGTAATTGTTCAAGTTAATTAAAGTTGTATGCAATAGTTGTAACTTATAATTAGAGATACATTGCAAAATACAGAAGTCAGATAGACCATTGTAACCTTGTCAGTATTGAGTTCAGCTATAAATAGAAACCATGTGCTTTTCAACATATGTTTTTGTTTACAAATAGGATAATAATATTGTTAATCAAACACGTTTATTAATCGACTTTTAGATTACGAACTGTTAGAAGTACCCCTTGTACTTTGGTCTACTTTAGAAGCAGACGGTGACTTAATAGTTGCACTCTCTTGGGTAGTCGACTGAGACATTTGTGCTGGTATTGATACTGATAGAGACATTGATGACTGTTTAACCGCTTTATCATAACTTAATGGTCTTTTGCCTTTGTTGTTATCCTCTGGTTTGGTGGGTTTATTATTGATAGGTAAATGTTGTTGAATGCCGCCAGAAAATCTGATGGCCTAACACACAAGAAAATGCGGTCATCTAGCATTTCACTAAAACTATTCAATCAAAAGTCCAGGTAGTTGTTATTTTTAGGCCAACGTACATTACAGTCTAGTTCTGCTCACTTTCGTGTTAGGTCTTTATACATTAGGTAGTTAGAACCATTGTTCTTATTGAATCCGTGCATTTTTTTTTACATTTAAAGAGTTTGTGTCTGCCTTTGTACGACAAAAACCTAACAATAAGTTCACGAGGTTTTTGGTTACCTCGTGGAGGACCTACTCTGTGAGATTTGTCTATTTTACAAGGTTCTTACTGAGAATATAGAACATCATTAGACAATCGTAGCAATTCATTATCTGTACTTTCAAATTTTTTTCCCGGGGATACCGGCTATTCGAATAGAATGTCTGCGAATATATTGTTTAAAATCTCCAGTGCTTCACATTTTGCTTCAGATTTTGTCAATCTATTAAGGTAATCAGGGTATTGATAATCATTGATATACAACATTCCAGCAGCCCAAAACACATTAATCTTAAAGTAAACCGATCTCGGGGTAATTATTTTATGTAGTTCGTATTTTTCATTTTGTTTGGTCTTATAAATAATTTTTGTTTTTTTAATCTGATTTTTTAAGCCTACATTTTCTATTAAATATTTTTGTAACTCAGATACAAGGTTAGTCAGTGATAAAATGACATATAAACACGATATGCATCCCTATTGCATTACAAATTAGAAATGTGTATAAGGTGGTATTCATAATATTTGTTGGAAATAAGCAAGGAATAATCGTTCAGCTGTGTTATTCACAATATTCAACTTACTTCAAGAGATTCAGAAATTATGTTATCAAACCAAATACTGATTTAACCTTAAAAAAAATCATGACTAATGTGACGATTTTAGCTTTATAATTGTTAAATCGATATAACATAAGTTTTACGGTCACCATTTTGACTTGGTTGACCGAAATTATATGTCTATGTCTCATCTAGCTGGCGACATGTTTCCGCAGTCTTAGATTTTTAGCTACCAGAATAGTCGTCTGATTTGTGATATTATCGATTGTGTCATTTGACTGAATGTTGATTCGCATGACGGGTGAGGCATGCATAGTAAGAAATTTCTTACCGTTCGATGCACCCGGTTTCACTCAGTTTGCAGTTCATGCGATTTTCTCATTTTAGGTTTGTTACCTAGACTTGTATCGATACTCGATTTATGAGATTTAAGCAATTTTAGGAAAAAATGTTGTTATGTCTCTTTGTTGTGCGTGTTATTATTATTTTTTTTTATTTTTTGTCACTCTAATGAGTCAAGTACGTACACATTGATTTTTAACAGCGTATACTACTGTTGCCTTTATTTATAGGTTGATGTACTGTTGCAATGATGCCCCAAATTAAGGAGGGTCGATGGATCCCAAACATGTTTAACCCCCCCCTTTCCCCATAGTTGTTATATTTGTTTAAAGTCATAAGCCTGTAACTCCCATATGAAACGATATTTCAGATCTCGCATTTCCTATCATGATTTTCTTGATAGATGGTTGCTGCTTACAAGGAAGCTATTAAACCAATAGTGGAAAAAGTTTATACACGCCGTCACGAGTTCGTTGATCGTTATGGAATATCTGTTTCACAGATGACGACGAATATAATCCAATTGGAATAAGACTTATCAACGGGTTTTTACTTCTATGAGCAACAAGACTGTTGCCACATTTGGAGAATAATATGCTTACCCTTGTGTACGTAGCACCGGATGTCACTCCCGGTTTTTAGGGATCCGTATTTCTCAGTCTCGTCCCTTTGATATCTTTCGTCTATCGTTTTCAAGACGAAATCTAACGAGAATTTTGACTTGCAATAGACATTTTGTCATATGTGATAGCATAAATGTATTTTTGAGTATTCAATTCTTACCCTTCTTATCTCGGTAGGCAGACAAAATATAAATATAACATCAGTTCTATAACGACAAAAATATGGATATGTTTTTTTTTATATTTATCTTTTTATGTTGTAATGTTATATTACTGTTTCATTTTAGGGTGAAGGTTGGCGCCTGTTAAAACGTTTAAACCCGCTGCATTTGTATGCACCTGTCCAAAGTCAGAAACCTGTTGTTCAGTGGTTGTCGTTTGTTGATTTGGTTCATAAGTGTATCCCGTTTCTCGTTTTTTATATAGATTAGATTGGTTTTCCTGTTTGAATTGTTTTACACAAGTCATTTTGGGGTCCTTGATAGCTTGCTGTTCGGTGTGAGCCAAGGTTCCGTGTTAAAGGCCGTACTTTGACCTATAATTGTTTACTTTTTACACATTATGACTTAGATGGAGAGTTGTCTCATTGGCACTCATACTACATCTTCTTATTTCTACTATAGGCAAAACAATTCTACGGTAGCAAGAAATACTCGCTACATGTACTACTGAAAAAAATTTAATAGATACATGTGCTCATATATAAACATCATGCTTGTTTAATGTAATATTGGCCGCTGAACGTCCGAGACGATTTGAATACAACAATTTTATGAATAGTCTATAAAATAAATGATATTTTGGAATGCCTAATATTATTTTGAATTCTCTTATAATATTAATAAATATCAATGATTGGTTCGCGAAAGGTTTACTAACCTAAAAAGCTGACAAATTAATCGTGTCGTCCAAGTTCGTTCAGGACAACACTTTGCCCTAATTCAAAACTGTTATCTTGATAAAGCAGTTTTATTGTGAACATATTTTAAAAATAAGATAGCAGTTACTTTACTTAACAACAACAAATCAAATCTCCAATATTGGATTGCACATAGTTAACTATCAAACATTAAAACTTTCAAAAAATATAACCTTGAATTTCAACTTTATCATACAATATCAAAAAGGCAAAATGTTCGTCTAAAACAAATCTGTTCATAATGGTACATTATGAGCCCTATAGTCAGCACATTTTTGAGTGGGACAACTTTTGACACGGCTACGATCCAAAATATTCTT